AGCTGCCAGGGTGATCTTTTGAAAACATAAATTAAATTATGCGACTCTCCCATTTAAAACCCTCCGGCGGCTCCCATCCAACTCAGTATAAAACCACACTCCACAAAATAACTTCCCAGGCCCCCCACGAACTAGCCCCTGATTCTCGGAACTCATCTCCTGCCACACTAGCCTCCTTCCTGTTCTTCTAACGCACCTGACTTGTTCCTACCTCAGGACCTTTGCACTGGCACTCCCACCGCCAGAAGTTCTTCTCCAGATCATTCCCAACTGACCCAGCTTAAATACGGCTCTTCAGTGAGGACTCTGTTGGCCACCCAGTACAAACAGGCCCCTCCATCTGTCTCGACTATATCATCAACTTCTACCGCCTATGTCTGCCTTTCACTGTGAGTTACACCGGTAGAATATGAGAGTACCATGTTCCTCAGTCCCTGAACCAGAGACGCTCCATAAATCTTGGTTGAATGAATGAAAATGTTTTCCAAGTCTCCAGATTTGTGGGGCAGTAGATAAAGTAACCTACTTAAACAGGCCTTATTCACAGCAGAACTGCCCCTTAATGAGCCTTTTTAAAATAGGTCACCACCTTCTCCTGCAGCCTGGTCGTGGACAGCTGCCCACAGCACTGCCGGTGGGAAAACAAGTGAGTTATTTTGTCTTGGCCCGACCTTTGTTTTGCTTATCCCGACAGTCACCTACACCAGAAACCCAGTGGATACACTATACCCTTCCCGCTCCTACCCCTACATCAATTCATCAGTAAGTCCTGCTGACTCTCCCTCCTAGAGAGATGTCCAGTATCTATGGCACAGCTCGTTCCAGCTTCCTTTCAGAAACTCCCTTGCCCCATCCCAATTACCTACCCAAAGCTCTGCTCATTGGACACTTCCTCTAAGCATCTCGAAGTCTGCAGAATACTGGGATGACGTAGACAATGAGGATAAATATGGTGGGTAAATCTAGAGATTACTTACTTCCATAGTATCGCCTAAGAGGAACCAGAAGACCGAGATCCCCGCAGCCACCCAATGGCCACCCGGCCTGTCTCTGGCTCTTCAGCCCGGTGAGTCCCATCACCACCGCCAGTATAAGCTCTTCGTTTGCTTCAGGTTTTAGTCACAGTTGTTTCTGTTGCCTCGCGGGGGTCTATGCCTCTGGTCTCCTCCCTGGCAGATCCATTCTCCACGAGGCCCCCAACCACATCTACCTAACACTCGAATCTGACCACACTGTGCGCCCCCGGTGGAGAAAAGCTGAGTCCCTGGTCCAGACCAACGGCCTCCATCCATCCTTCCAACCTCTTCTCTTGTCGCTGCCTGCCTCTACCTTTAAGCTCCAGGAACTGCAAACCCCAGGCTGCTCTCTCAGCTCCCAACCCCTGCTCACCCTACTTCCTCTGCACTGGGAGCCCCGTTCAAGGCTGACTACTTCATGCTCAACCTTTAAGCTCAGCTCAGACAGCACTTGCATGCTGGGCTGGGTGCCTCCCGGCCCTGTTCACAAGCGTGCAGCCCTAACCCACGGTCTGCCTTCCCCACTCAACTGTGAATGTTTGGATGACAGGCACTGTGTCATATGCATCTCTATATCCGTAACCACATAAGAGGCACAGAATGCATTTTAACAACAACAACAACAAAAAAAATAATAATAATAATAATAATCTAACAAGATGTTAAGTGATTAAAATCGTAATTCACTCCAAAAACCCCAGGTTGGATGCAACAATGTGATTTCAGTTTCCGCCTTTCTACCCGTGTTCAGAACGACCCTCAAATGGAGCCCCCAGAGATCAGCCAGGCCATGCCCTGCCCATCTCGAGCAATGGTTTCACAGCTGGAGGGGATGCACGTTGTTTGAAAAAGCGACAAGGCTATTGCCGAGGACACCTCCTGATGGTTCCCCATCAGCAGAAGGCATTGCAGACATCGAGGGTATCAGTTTAAGCCTCGAGGAAAGGGCAAGGAAGCCTCCTACCCCACACCAGTGTGAGCACAGATAGGGAATGTACGAACAAAGCCGTAGCTGCCAATAATCAAATCAGCCTCGCCCGGAACTTCCCGCGGCTCCAGTGTGGGCACACGGGAGAGAGGGCCTCCCCCTTCCCGGACCCCCGTGCCTGAGCTTCCTCACCCGCCGGGACTGAGGGTCCAGAGGCCAACCCCGATTCGCTCATCAAACATAAGGCGCCCACTCTGGGGCTGACGCGAAACAAGGTCCGGAAGGCCAAAGGTCACCGAAACACCCTCTTCAGCTCCTACACAGTCGTGTGGAAAGATGCCTGGGCTTAGAATCAGGAACCCCAGCCCTTTCCCCCACAAGTGGCAACAGCCGCGGGAAAGTTACTGACGTCCCTCGGCATTGGTTTCCAAATATGAAAACCAAGGATAACATGAGCTCGAATGTGGGAAAGTGTCCGGTACCAGGCTGGGTCCCAGAAAGCTGGCTGAAGAGGGTCTCTCCAAAGACCCTCTTCCGTGTCCCAAGTCCCACCAGAGCCAGAGAAGTCCTCGCGATGGGAGCACCGGCGCCCCCCTTCTGCCACCCAGTGAGCGCCGCAGGGGCTGCCTGAGCGGGAGCTGGCAGAGTGGGAACTGCAGCCCCCACGCAGGCTCAGGGGCCAGCTCACACATACCTCTCCCCGGCTGCTGGGAGCACACCGTCCCCGCACACCGTCCCCGCCAGGCCGCCTGCTACGGAAAATACATTTCTAGACCGGAGCCCAGCCCTGCCCGGTAGTATTTAAGCCCTGATCAGGGGCCTCCCGCTGTGCAGATAAATGTTCCACTCAACCGAGCAGCTGCCACACATAACTGCACCCTCCCCCCTTCCCTCCCCTGCCCTGCCCTCCCCTCCCCTGCACCTCTTATGGAGAAGAAGGAGTTGTGTGTCTCCGTTAAGTCTTGCCTATCATTTTCTCCACAGAACCAGCTGAATTAAATTACTTTCTTTCTAAAAAGCCCTTATTCGGCGCCCTCACTAAAGGCCTGATTACTGGCAATAGGAGCGTTCAGAGTTCAGAGAAAGGTGATCTTGATGAACGATTCTAAGAAGATTTAGCGCTCCTCCAATAAAAGATCCTAGGGATTGTGTTACCCGCCTGTTTTGTTTTCATTACTCCGCTCGGGTACATCCAGCAACCAGCCCCAGTGCTGCAGACCCGCTGCTCCACAAACAGAGCTGCTCCCCAAGCAGTCAGTGCCACGAAAACCCACAGGTCTGCAGTGAACTCAGAAAGGGGGGCCACGCTGGCGGGCTCCCCACCAGGCAGGCCTTGGGGGAGCACAGCCCAGGGCATCTGAGGGGTACTCGCAGCAGCCACCACCAACAGCCCAAGAGGCCAGCAAAGTTCTGCAGCTCCAGGAACAAATCCTAACCCAGGTGTCACAGCCAAGGTCTGAACTGCCACCTTAGACTCAGGTCAGAGCCTCAGATAAACAAGCAGCGGATACAGCCGGGACTCCACCAACACACCCTTCCACCTGGCAAAGATGAAATAAAACCCACCAGCCAGCGGAGGAGAGGAGCTGGAGTTCCGCTTCCATTAAAAAAAAAAAAAAAGTGTTGCTCTAGCCTCAAGACAATTTCACACCAAATGGCTTTAAAACCCTTTCCAAAGCTTGGATGCCTGAATTGAAAAAGGAGTTTATCTTTTTGACCGGAGGCCAGCCTTAAAGCCGCAGGACAAGGCAATCTTAAGAGTCAGGAGTTTTCCCGTTTGCACAAATGCTGTGTGTCTGGACATGCAAGGGGCAGAAATCTACCCATTCTTCCTGGAGAAGGTCACCTCCACTCCATTCTCTGGAGAATGCCATCACCACTTCAGCGGCACGGCCCCACACGGCCCCACACAGCACCCCGTGCTGGTCCCCGAGCCCGGGAAAATCTCCTCGTCTGCGGGAAAACAGGCTCGGGGCCTGGGGGTGGCGCCCGGTCCGTCTCCGCACCCACGGAGCCGCCGGCGCACTGCCACCCGGCTAAGGGCTCCGAACCACTGGCAGGGAAGGCGCCTTCTCCACACACGCCTCCTCGAAGCAAAAAGAGCAGCGGGAAATGCTGCCGCGGTGGGGGCAGAGGGCGCACGTGGCCGGCGCCCAGGAGGCAAGACGCAGCCGCGGGTCCCCGCCCCGCGCCACCATCCCACCGGGGTGCGGCGTCCCCGCTCGCCCCCGCCCCGGGGCCCGCCCCAGAACTACCTGCTGCCGCCCGGCGCCCTCAGGCCAAGTCTGAGGAAGTTCACTCCCCGTCGCGCCAGTCCGGAGACGCTGGGGCCCCGCGTCCACCCGGCTGCCCGGGACAGCCGGAGCCCGCCCCTGCCCGGGCGCACGAACCAGCGCGCGGCCGAGGGCCCGGGGGGCAGCCAAGCAGGGGCCAGGCCGGGCTCCCGCGGCCTCCCCGGCGATCCCCGCGCTCCCCGCGCTCCCCGCGGCCCGCGGACCTTCCCGGCCGTGCGCCTAGGAGGGCGAGCAGCCCGCGCGGGGCCCGGAGGTGGAGGGGATCCTGCGTCCCGCCTCTCGGGATCGCCATGACTCCGGCTTCCCGGGGACCTGCCAGCCGCCCTGCCCTCCCACCTGGGCTGCGGTGCGGCGCCCGCTCCTCCCTCCCTCCCCGGCGGCCGGGGGCGCGCAGCCTGGCAGCCCCCCGCGCCGCGGACTCCGCCACCCGCGCCCAGCCCGCAGCCCGCGCAGTCCGGGACCCCCGAGCGGGACAGCCGCGGCCCTGCCCGGCCCCACGCCCCCGGGGCGCGCGGTCCTCCGGCGGCCACCCCAGGGGAGGGCCGGTGGCTGGGGCGGCCCCCGGCCCGCCCCGGTACCCTCTGCCCGCGCCAACAGGTACGGGAGGCGTTGTCCGCGGCGGCCGGCCGCGCGCTCCGGGCAGGGGCTCGGGGCTCGGGCAGGGGCTCAGGGCAGGATTTCGGGGCGGGGGGGGAGGCGCGAGGACCCGGGGGGGCGGGGGCGGGGGGCGCGGGGGGCGAGGACGAGGGCGGCGGCACTCACCTCTGGCTGGGCCGGGGCCGGCCGCGCGGGCCCGCCGCCCCGAAGCCCGGGTTCCGAGGCGCCTCGGCGCGGCGCGGGGGGCTTCCTCCGAGGCCCGCAGGGAGGGGGCGGCGCGGCTGCTCCCCCGGCGCTCACACCCCCAGCCGGCGGCCGCGTCCCCGCGCCGGCATCCTCGCTGCCGCCGGCTCCCACGGCGCCCCGGGCCGCTCCCCAAGCGCGCGCCGGGCCGGCGCGAGCCCCTCGTCGGCTCGGAGCGCGATCCGGGCACGCTCCTCCCCGTCCTTGTCCTCCGCTCCCGTCTGGGGACGCGTGCCCCGCACCCCGGCACGGCGCGCGGCTCTACCCCTCCCGCTGCCGCCGGCCGTGCGGAGCCCCGGCGCGCGGGCTCAGCCCATGTGCGCGGCCGCCTCGCTGCGCCCCGGAGCCCAGTGGCCGAGGCCCCGCCGGAGTTGCGCGCCCCAGAAACTCCATGCGGCTCCGGCCTCCTCCCCGGCTCCTCCCCGGCGGGCGCCCCGGGGCCTAGAGGCCGCCCGCAGCGCCGCGCCCGCTCCGCCCTCGCCCGCGCCGGGAGCCGGGGTTCGGGGCTCGCCTCGGACGCCCGCGCCCCGGCTGCTCCGAGGGACCGGGCGCCCCCGCCCCCGCGCCTGCGCCGCGCCAATGGCTCCCTCGGTTTCCAGGCAGCGCAACCTGAGGAACGCCTCGGCGCGCGCGCTCACACTCGCGCACACACGCGCGCACCGCACACACATACGCGCGGGGGGCGAGCCGGCGCTCGGCAGACGGTCCTCCTCCTGTCCCTCCGCGAGCGGCTGCCCACGTTAACTCCGGCAAACCGCCTTTCTCCGCATTGGACAGCTCGCCCGGGCGCCCCCCGCCTTAACCGCTTCGTCCCCGGCGCCCACACCCCTGCGCCGCGACCGCACCTGCAGCGGCACCCGGGGCCGGAGGGGGACTCGGCGTGGCCACCCCGGCCGCTCTCGAGGGAGGCGCGTCTGGGGCCGCCGCGCGCCACGCTCTGGCCCCGCTCCCCTGGGGTCCGGGAGCACCTGGGTCGGGCCCCGCTCCTCTTTCCAAGGTCATAGGATGGATTTGGTGAGGGGGACAGGGCGCTGGGACGCAGGTGTGAGCTGGAAATCTCAGACTCTTGCAGCCGCCCGGGGCTGACCTCCGCCAGGTCCGTGCCCGGACCCCTTTTCTGTCTGCCCCATGCCTCAAGGGCAACCCTTTCAGCCTGGTCTCCAGTCGACTTCCCAGTCCCCAGCAGTCTCCCTCGCCTGAGCCCAGCAGCTGATGGAAACCACGTTGCAAGGAAGGTTTGTGCGGTCAAGTAAGAGCGAAAATCAAAACACCAAGATGGGTCTTAGACCGTCCGGCAGAGTCGGAGGCCTTCCAGGGCCTTCCCGCTCTTCCCAGGGGTGTGCCAGGGTAGGAGGAACCACCCACCTGGCTGCAGCCTTTCCTTACAGCACCCTCCTGTCCCCGACCCCAAGTTTCTTGCCCCCTCTAGGTGGCACAGACTGCTCCCCAGTTCAGACGCCTCCAATCCCCAGAATCAGAGAAAAGGTCTATATAAAAATTCTCACACCAGTCAGGAGCAAAGCAGGCAATGCTGCCCTAAGCCTTGGGTCCAAACAGCTCAGCAGTCCTCTCTCTGCTGGCCTATGTGGCTGCCAAGAGAATGTGGGCGGGATCCTGCCAGCCAGACACACAAGTTCATCAGGGGCCCTCGCAGCCTGGGCCTGGTTCCTCTGAGCCCCCATAACATTCCCCGTGGGCACCATTCCTGTGGCATTTAGCATTTTAACCTGTGTTACAACAGCCTTCCCTTGAACCAGTCCCGCTTCTGGGTTATATTCTGGAGCCAGTGGCTGAGTCTTCTGTCCTGAGCTCGGATGTGCCCTGAAGGTCATCGGCAGAGGTTTCCGTAAGGGGCTGTGGGCACATGAACTAAGCCAGTGGGGTCTCATATGGTCTTTTCCTGTGATCTCTCAGTTTGGATGCAAACTGCCTCTTCTAACAATCTGTTGCATCTGTAAATAATTGTTGTGTCACTTTCTGCATGGCAACGCGTCACCAAAGTCCCTTGGCAAGTCTATATATTGTTTTTAAAAAAGGAGGGGGACTGCAGGCGCATAATGGGTTGCTAAACCCAGGTCTTTGTCCCCAATCTAAGCGCAGTGTCAACCCCCCCTGCAGGTTGAAATGCAGGGAATGTGACCTTAACAGGTTGACCAGGGATTTCTCAATCTGTGCTATCGCAGGCCCCCGAAGAAAGAGGAAATCACCTGCATGCTAAAATCCCCCCCACACCCTGGAAAGCGGGCCTGACCTGGCACAGTCCTTCTGTTAATAACTGTCTTGCCCCCCCTCCCAACTATAGAAAACCCTTCCATCATGTCCGATTCCCGAGTGTGTCTCTACTTGCTAGACGGGGTGCTGCCTGATTCATGAATCAATAAAGTCAGTTCGATCTTCAGATTTGCTTGGTTGAATTTTAACAACACGCACATGATGGCGTTTCCTGGTAGAATGCAGGGGGTCCCTGTTTAACCAGAATAGGGTACACTTGGCACAAGTTCTCCGCCCTCACATACCACCCGTGTGGCCTTGGGCAGTTGTGCAGTCTCTAAATGTCGCTGTCCTCCTCAGCCAAAGGGGCATGATTACAGTATCTATGCGATAAGGTGGTTGTAAAGATTAAAGGTGATCTTGTGCAAAAGCAGTCCCCTGGGGGGAGTTACACAAATCAGTGCTAGACGGAGAGGGGGAGCTCAGCAAATGTTAGCTGTTGTTGTTATCAGGGAGTAGTTAACACACACCAAAGACATCACCTTGGGGAAAAGATCAAGGATCTTTCTTCTGGAGAGACTAATCCCAGCGGACCTCAAAAACTAAGGAAGCTGGGGGGCAGACTTTGGCGAGCGTGCAGAATGCAATTTCCTGGTTCTCACCAACGATGACTATTTAAGGCTTCCACATTAAGAGATTTGCAGGTTCAAAGGCCCTGGTGCCCTTGCTCCAAATTTTATATATATTTATTAAGGGTCAAAATGTGTTCAATATATATTTATTAAGGGTCAAAAATGTGTCTGCCCCTTCCTATTAAAATGCCAAAGAAATTTTTGTAGCAATTATCGGAATGGAGGCTAAAAGCAGCGTAGGAGAAAATGGGTGGGAGGGACTTCCCTTTCTCCAGCATTTGTAACTGGAGTTAGCCTAAGTATTCTCTCCAACCCAGAATAACACAGCCCTCTAGGAGCCAGCTAGGGAGAGACATTAACTTTGTCCGACCACCTGCCCCTAGTTTTGGGACAAATCAGACACCTGGACAATAGTATCTTTTTCCGACACGGCCAGAGTTATTCCTGCCTCCACCTTACCCTTCCCCTCTCTTTCCTTCTTTTGCTTTAACTTTCAATAAATACATTTACTTTCAGCGCTCAAGACACACAGGGGTAGAGGGTAAGGAAGGGGTCTGCTGTATTCTGAACAGAAACAGGCAGAAAAAGACAAATCATTTGGGTGCGTACAGGCTGGAGGGTAAAGCTTTTCATGTCTTTCATCGAAATACAGGATTTAGAATACAGTGGCTTCTTTACAACACACTTTCTACCTCGTGGCTTGAGGTCTTAGAGTGGTTTTTAGGCAGCAAACAGAGAAATCAAATAAACTTTGGTTCCTGGGAGCAGACTTCTCAGGGGGCCAAAGCCACACGGGCCTCAAGAAGACTCTTGGAGAGGACTTGACACACCCTGAGGAAATTGCTTCCGCAGGCTGTGCAGGAGAGCCCCTGAGTCCCGCATTTGTAGGACCGCGAGCAAAACCATTTCCTATCACCATGGGACAAAGGGGAAGGTGCCTAAGGACTCAGTGGGTCCAACAAGGGAGATTTCCAAGTAGAACATAGAAAGGGCCGACCGATAAAAAGGCAAGAAGAGATGACATAAAGAAGAAACTATTCTCTTTTTTTTTTAGTAGAATTTGGAGGAAATAGAAAGAACCAGGACATGCTGGTTCATTCTAGTAGGCCCAGGCAAAAGCTGACAAATCCAGGGCAATAAAATGGGGTCTCTGGGAAGGATGGGGCTAGAAGAGCCTTTGTTAAGACCTCACACAGTTTTAGGAGCACGGCTGGAAGAGCTTTTTTAAATTTGTATTTTTACTTTATCTGAGAGAGAGCGCGTACACACAGAAGGAGAGGGAGACGCAGGCTCCCCGGTGGGCGGAGAGCCTGACTTGGGGCTGGAAGAGCTTGTAAGGATCTCGGAGACACGGTCACTCAGCAGCCCCACCAGCGGCTGAAGATAGAGAAGGGCCTATTCCTAAATATGTAGGTTTGGCTTTTGTCTACTGGATGAGTTGTAATTTGAATCAAGGGAATACTCAATGATTTATTTAAAGAAAAGAGTCTAGCTTGGGATCAAAAGGGACAGAGACACAGGAGATCACTGGGTCCCCAGTCCTCTCGAGGTAGCAGCAGACGTGGAAACAGGCTGCTCTTTCTTACAGAAGACGCATTAGGACTCGGACAGTGGAGCCAAGAGTCCAAAAGGGGAACGCGAGCCAACAAGAAGTAGGACCCGGCCCTAATTAAGGAATCGATGTCATTTCCCCCCCCCCCCGGGATTTCAGTATTGCGATGGGTTGGTGACTGCTATGGGAAATAGTTCCCCTGGTCTCCCTCGCTGGGTATGATGTCCGGTTCCGTGTTTATCTCTGCCTCACTTGTCTGTTGGGTTTTCAAGCGAGACCGGGGAGGAGGTCACAGATCTCCAGGGAGCCTCACCCACACCTGAAACTATTCTAGATAAACAAACCCGGTACCTTAAGCCTGAACCTGAGGCCACAAAGAGGTGAAACTTTCTGAAGCTTTCAGAGGTTTCTGGGTGTTTTTCATATTGGAAGAATGTAAATAGGGGCGCGTGGGTGGCTCAGTCGATTAAGCATCTGCCTTCGGCTCAGGTCCTGATCTCAAGGTCCTGGGATCGAGCCCCGCATCAGGCTCCCTGCTCAGCGGGGAGGCTGCTTCTCCTCCCTCTGCCGCTCCCCACGACTCCTGCTCTCTCTCCCTCTCAAATAAAATCTTAAAAAAAAAAAAAGGCGAAGAATGCAAATAATTTTATACTCTGGATGCATTCAATGAGGCCACAAAAGCTTTGACGTTCCTCTTCAAGATCTGCGATCGGAGTCTCCCTACCCTTGAATCTGAACAGGAGCTGCTGCCTGTTCAATAGAATAGGGAAGTTATTTTGTGCTGGTTTCTAGGCCTGGGACTTAAGAAACTGGAAGCTTCCATTTCCTGTCCCTTGGAACACTCTCTTGGAGCCCAGAGCCACTCTGTAAGAAATCCAGGTACCGTGTTGTGAGGCTGCACAGGCTTGCTGTGTGGAGATGCTCTGTGAAAGGACGGAGAGAGGGCAAGACAGGCAGAGGAAGGGAAGATGGAAGGGAGGGAGGGAGGGAGATCTGGACCATCTGCAGCTCTTCTAGCCCCTGCTAGGACCGTCTTCGCAGCTGAGGCCCAAGAGATTGAAGGAGGAAGAAGCCGTCCCCACTGTTCTCCTAATCCCTGACCCACAGAGCTGGTAATAAATTGGTGTTTTAAGCCACTTAGTTTTT